GGAGGGACGGATTGTTGCCACGTCGGGCGCAGCTTGAAAAGTGGGGCATTGTAGTGGTGAGTGAGCGGAGGAGAGGGGGAGGAGGGGCGAATGGGTGGTGAAGCCGCGGAGGATGAGTGGCGGAGCAGCGGAGAAGCTGCAGAGGATAGGGGGGGGGAAGGGTGGGCGTGGAGACGAGGAGGCAAGCAGGAGAAGTAGAGGAGGCACGTAAAAGGAGTGGAGGAGGCATGATGGAGGAGCGCGGGACGACAGGCGAAGGAGGAGAGAAGGAGCCAAAGAGAAGATGTGGAGGGGGAGCCGAGCAGAAGCAGAGAAGGTGCGGGGGAGGTGAGGCAGAGGACGGCTGAAGGAGGAACGGAGGCGATGCAGATGATTATCGGAAGATTAGCGGACGAAGGGCAGAGGAGCGGGGGGGGAGCAAGAGAGCGGGGGAGCAGCGTAGGAGGCACTGAGGATGAGCGGGGGAGGAGGGAGGAGGGGCGGAGGCGCGGAGCATTACCGGAGGAGGAGAGGCAGAGGAGCAGCACGGAGAAGCTGCGTAGGATGAGCGGGGGAGGGGCGGATGCACGGAGAACGAGCAAAGGAGGTGGGACGGAGGCGGCGAGGAGGATGAGCGAAGGAGGATGAGCAGAGGCGCAGAGGACCTGTGAGGAGGAGCAGGGGCGCAGAGGACCTGTGAGGATGAGCAGAGGCACAGAGAGAGAGAGAGAGAGAGAGAGAGAGAGAGAGAGAGAGAGAGAGAGAGAGAGAGAGAGAGAGAGAGAGAGAGAGAGAGAGCGTGTTTGCTATACCCAACTCCACAAAAAAGCCTGACTGAACCGGACTGAACCTGACTGTTCCGTCGGACTTTCAGCAACTCGTCAGGAGGTTGAACCCCGACAGTCTTCACAGGAGAAAATGGTAGACTGCCAGGCCAAAGAGTGTGTGTGTTGTGTGCGCGTTGTCATATTCGCTATACGTAACTACGCATTGACTGTACCAAACTGTTTGGTCGGACTTCCACCGACTCGTCAGGAGGTTGAAGCGTGTGTGTGTGTGCGTGTGTGTGTTGTTTTAAAAGACCCCAGATTCTCTCTCTGATTCCCTTCACAAATCATCACAAGCCATCCATAATGAAAAAGTATAGATATGTAACATAATAGAAAATGCAAGGTTGGCCACGTTTGTGTGGTTCAGCGCCGAGTGCCTGCAAACCCGTCTGTCACCAAAGCGGCACACTTGCACATATAAAAGTGTACATATATATTTCAAACCGTAAGGGGATGGAGGGCAGAGGGCAACTTACCTAAGACAGAAGACTACTCCAGCAAGAAGGCACCAACCCGAAGGTCTGAAAAAACATGGAGAGCCTTCCGCATCGGCCGACAAAACCAAAAAATCATTAACCAAAAACAATCAAGTATAACAGCATTGGCATTCCCGACACTCATCTCAAACTACACACTCGCATCACTGCCAAAGAGGAGGAAGAAGATAAGAGACACCTAAGACAGAAGACTCCTCCAGCAAGAACGCACCCCCCACCTCACTAAGGGTCCGAAAAAAACTGGGAAAGCCTTCCACGGCGGCCCGCAAAACATACATCTCCCCAAAGAGAACTTGATGGCATTCCCGACATTCATCTCAAACTACACACTCGCATCACTGCCAAAGAGGAGGAAGAAGATAAGAGACACCTAAGACAGAAGACTCCTCCAGCAAGAATGCATCCCCCACCCCACTAAGAGTCCCAAAAAAAATGGGAAAGCCTTCCACGGCGGCCCACAAAACATACATTTCCCCCAGAGAGAACTCGTGGCCACCCATAAACATCCAAACAACCCATGCTCTAAAGCAGGGCAAAGAATTAGGCCGTGTGTAATCAACAAAACCAACAAGACATATCCAACCACAAAAAGAGATAATAGCCTGCTAATATGAGCCCGATCCTAGCCGCTCAAATCTGCCAAGACAGAGAGCTAGCAAGACCGGAATGTGCATTGTGTGTGTGTGTGTGAGAGAGAGAGAGAGAGTCGAGCACGGCGGAGGGCGGTCCATGGCACAGCACAGGTGGTACCCAACACGAACGACAACAGCTCATGAACCCTAGGCGTGAAGTTGGACAAAACATGGCATGGGTTGAAATGGCACGTTGCACCGGACAAGGCGGCCTGAGGTACAAAGTTGCCTGCGACCTCGATCATTGGGCCCGAGGTACTGGGCCAACGGCTTAGATTCAGACACAGGCTTAAGATCTCAAGACCATGTCGATCTAGGCCGTCGGTCCGGTAGCACCCGACGGCCCAGATCACGGATTTCAGATTGGTGACGCTAGCAATTTTAATAGTGTAGGGAGTCTTGTTAAAAAAAAAAAAAAAAAAAAAAAAGAGAGAGAGTTGCCTATGTTGTCATGTTTGCTAAACACAACTACACAAAAAAGAACCACGACAGTGCCAGACTGGTTCATTGAAACCCCAACTGTCTACCTGGGCATTTGACTGATGGATGAGGGCTCACCACATCACCCAGTGGCAGCAATACCTCTGAGAAAACTGGTCAACTCCATACTCACAACAACACTGCAGCCCTAGCAGACTGCCAGTCCACACTAATGACAAGAACAGCAGTCAGTTTTCGAAACCAGTCTGTAAAAGCCATAAAACCCACTCCACACACCTACTCAGTGACCAAATAGAGCAAGACAGGGATATGCATGCATTCATGCATACATACATGCAGAGGTGTGCTTCGCAGGAGCGCAGGGCGAACACAAATGTGCACGCGAACACAAGAAAAACAAAACACTACTGGTGTGCAATGCCTGCAAACCATCCTACACCCTCCCCCCCACCGAACTTGACAAGGCCCAAGAGATTAAAAAGGGACGATTTCGGGTGTGTAAACACACCACACCATCACTTTTGACAACAAATTAAACTACCTTTTTGGTTTGCCTGGACGACCTGAGCAGGTGGCCCCAAGCTGCCCAATCCCACAGGGCTTGACTGGACACCCTGGTCCAGGCGACCATGGTGGAATTGCCCTCCGTCACGCCCAAAGCAATCAGCAAGAAGGCCCACTTCTGCAACAGCCAATTTAGGCTGCAGCTGCTGTCAGGATGCAACACAAGAAAACGGATGGTTAACAGTCTGTGGTCATCAATCAGTGAGGCTGACATGGCGGAATTGGAAAAGTTATAGACTGAATTGAACATCAAAGACCCACTGCAACAGCCAATTTAGACCGCAGCTTCTGTCAGTAAGCGACACAAGAAAAAGGATGGCTAATAGTGGATCACGATGTCATCAATCAGTGAGACTGACACGGCAGAATTAGAAGCAATTACAAACTGATTTGAGCATGAACGACAGACAAAGTGGATGCCGTCCGCCTGACTAAAAACTTTGCAGGAATCGTCAATACTGAAATATTTTCAAAGGTTGGCTTTGAACTCAAGGCATATCAACAATGGTAGGATATAGTCCACGTAAAGAATCCTCATGCCCACTGCAAGGTGGACAGGAAAAGGACTGCCCATGGAATGTTGCCAAGACAAATAACACATGCCTGTTAGGTTAGTCACGATTTGGCTTTATCCAATGAACTAATCGGTGAATAGTAAGGGAGTCGGGACCATTATCCATAGACCAAAAAGAGCAGCCAGGCTCTGGAAATGATTCTAGGGGCCAGCTAGGCTAGCAGAGTGGCCCAGGACACTTAATCGGCAGAAATATACATTACATAATTTTTAAATTTGGTAAAGAGTTTCGATGTGACCCTGAGGCAAGAGTTGTTCAGCCTATTTTTGATAATTTTTCTGCATAACATATTGCTTTTTTCAGACTTTTTGGATTTCTTTGTTTTTTTTTTGGGCTGGAACCTTCTATGGTCCTTGCGCGGCCATGGCCGCCTGGGCAAACAAGGTGACCCGCGCGGCCTGGCATATACCCTAGGGAGGTGTCAGATGTTTGCTGGCGTGGTAAGCAGGGCACTACTTTCTGCATGTCAGAGCTATTCCTACACAGGCATGTCTACGGCCAAGGTATTCCTACTAACCCCACTGTCCTCTGGACAACAAAGTCTACAGCCAAGGTATTCCTACAAGCCCTTCTGTCCTCTGCTAAGGCAAACCAAAAGGTAAAGGGAGCCTTTCAGAGCTTATCATATCAAAACGTAACACATAACACAGGCATGTACCAACATGAGCATGCCTAGCAGCCCACACTCGGCCTTGGAGATGAGCACACCTCCTACAGGTACACCAAACACTGACACTTCTTGTTAACAGGAGGTGTCACACAACGAACAGGTCGTCCAAATTAATCTCATTGCATGCCAGCTATTGTGCATCCTCTATGCCTGTTATATGGCAACTGCTTCTGCATTGTGAATGAGATGCCGCACCTGTTTTGCATATTGCTATCATGTGCTCATCTGTTCCCTTCAGTATTGGATTGTTTCCATTCTCACATAGGTATAAATACCTGTGGTGAGTAGAATCAAAAGATGTCCAGCTTTATCTCTCGGTTTGTGCACATCGATGATGGAGTTCTCAACAAACATTTTTGGGCCGCGCAAGCAACAGACAGGCAACCTGCCCCCAAACTCTCCATAAGCAGGGAGAAGCAACCAATGAGTTGAAAGAGAAAATGCGGCCGCGGATAGAATATGAGCAAGAGGCAAGCCTCAACCTTTGCTCCATAATGAAGGACAAGATGTGACATGAAAATGCCAGACCATAACGAAGCAAGAGAACATGCTCGAAGAAGACTAACTCAAATATCAATGCCGTGAATAACAAAACCAGCGAGAAATGAACACACATCAAAGGTGGACACCATGACATAGAAAAAAATCGGCGATTACATGTGATTATACCCAATTCACACTTTTTGTGACACTGTCGTCAAATTCTTTCCTCTCCATGAAATGTACCAGTACAAACTCGCAAACCGAAAAACACAAAACAGCATTTGCTAAAAGAGACCCTCTGGTTCTTCCATTAACTGTTTCCCACACACCAGAACAAAGAAAATTGTTCGCTAGCATCCCTATCGCGATCTCCTCAGAAGATCCCTCTACAGCGCATGCGAAGCTAACATTATAATTGGTTCCAAAGTTCCAGCAGTTCTGACCACAAAGATGCAATACTGAAAGATGCTGAAGCAGGTATGGAGAAGAGGTCCCCGCAGGAACAGACAAGCACGTCACTAAATAAGAACAAAAGTTACAAAATGCTACACATGGATTGCCCGCAAGAAAAGCAATTTCATTTCCAACTATGACACAAAGTCCTCGATTGGTGAAAAAGAGCGGAATGATTATGTGCGGCAATACCTTCAACTGGCTCAACTTTAAGATATCTGCCCCTTCAGCAGCGACAGCGAGCCTTCGATGTTTAGCACGATTCATTCTCGCCCGATCTGCAGGCATCTGCCCTAGGCCTGTATTCCCTAGCACTGTCTCATTGGACAAGGAACTCTTACCCACACTGGCAACATCCACTTCCCCTTGAGTGAGACCCCTTGCAGTTAGTCTTTCTTCCGGGGTAGCTATCCGAGCCCACTCCCGCCACGACCAGCCACTCATTGATGTCCGAGCACAGCCTTCCGAGATTGGCCTTCCTTGAATCTGTTTGCACTTCACTTTGCCATCCTGGCAAGTTCTGGCAGCCATGATCCGGGATGCTGTCCGAGAAGCCTCATTTACAGTTTCAAGTTCTGCCAACAATGTTGTATCCAAGCAACTGTGCTCACTGCCCTGCAATTTACAGCAAGGCCCTCTGCACATCACACACTTGACTCTTCCACCTTCCCTTCGGTTTCCAGCTACCTTGGTAGATGAGTTGCCTCGCTCCTTTCCATTCTCATCATATATGGATGTACTGTTTCGTGTCTGCGTCTGACTAAACACTCTCAGAGGCATTTGTTTCCCCTCTATGGCAGCAGGACGACGCACTGGACGAGGACTCCCTACCGGGCATGCTTTTCCCTTCAAGGTAGCCCGGGTTCTCGGGTAGTCTGTCCTAGTTTGAGTACTTTTCATGATGGCAGCCATTCTTCTTTCCATCGCCAAGGCCTTCTCAACTGACCTCGCACGGGACCCCGCCTTGCTGACTAGCACGACGTCAGGGGGAAGCCCACCACTGCATGGACGGCATGAAACTTTCCTCCAGAACTCCTTTCTCAAAACCTGGAAACGGTCAAATGGAAGTGACCAGCACTGTCAAACACGTGCTGCAGAATGACAGCTGTGATTCATTCGTAGTTAAGAAAAAACTGAAAACGTGAGTAAAAACCAGGACAGATAGGGCCGCAAAGTGTTTTCAGTATGTCCTCTTTTTTCTGGGCTGAGATAAAATGAGGGAAAGGAGGGGAATCATAATGAGGGCGCACCCATTCAGTGAATCCTATCCATGGTGAGCAATCAATGCTGTGGGGGATCCGCGTGCTGTAACAAGAGGAAGCTTGGAGAGTGTATCTATGTACGCTGCTGACTTGCCAGTGGAAAAGGAACCAGACTGCCGCTCCCTACAATAGAATTGAGCCATGAGGCCCTGTTCTGTGACCAAAAGTAAAAGAAAACGAGTGAAAAAATGAAAGTGTTACGATGGCAGTCAAAGAAAAACTCAGCCCGCACTGCACCCGGCGTACCCCTGGCATGTAAGAAAGGCCAGGGTTTTTCGTGTGTGTGTGTGKGGGGGGGGGGGAAGAGAGAGAGGGGGAGTTGCTGCCCACCGAGACCCGCCGGAATCGGGGTCTTTTAATATTCTCATGACAACCAGGGTAGCCGGTTGAGGGGAGAAGGGTCCATCGACCGACGGCTGAACTAAACCCATGCCTGTAGACAAGAGGCAAGGTGGGGGGGAAGGAGGAAATGTAGTGCAAGAGGGATAAGGGACACGACCCGCACAAAGGAGAAGCGAGATGGCATGGAGGAGGCAGACAGCAGGACGGACCGTCTCGTACTCTTGCCGTTGTGATAATTATCGTACCAGACATTTCTAGACAGCCCTTTCTTGATCCATCCTGGGACCTGTTCGGGCTACTTCGTACACTTGCTGGCTCCTTGAACCAGCTTCCTCGGCTTTCCACAGACTTGTGACCCCTCCCTCATGACTGGACTCACCGTTGAACTCTCCGTGCTCTGTCTTATGCAGGTCTGGGATAAAATCCATCTACTTTCTGAGTTGTCATGTTACCAGGCTTACTCTTGATAGTCTCGTAGCAATATATTAAGAATTTAGGATCTGCAAGAAGACCTATTAGATCCATATATCTGCCCGAGAGTTTGCGTACAATCATCATCATGCACAGGAGGTGAACCTTTTTCTTTCAGTCCTTGGGAAGCTTCTTCCTGCTCCCAGTACTGAAACTCCCTAAGGAAACACTTGCGTTCCTTGACCTCCTCTAAATTAAGGGTCTTGCTGGTAAGGGATGAGGACTGACCTCACTGGCCAACAGATTCCTAATGTTTTCTGGGAGTGCACACAGATAACTTGTAAGGAGTGTCTTCGGGTCATAACTTACCCGTGGGACCTTGATGAGGCATGCTACTGTCAACCACAACCTGAACATTCTTATACTTGTGAGTCTCTGGCATGTGGAGCTCTTCTGTGGCCTTCTGTGTAGCTTTCTGATTGTAGAACCTCTTCTCTACCAATACCACAAAATCCTCAAAAATCTTGTTCCGAGAGATGGTTAACAGGGGAACCTGCGTTACCATACGTACAGCCTCCCGTACAGCCATACGAATTCGTAGTCGTACAGTAATTGTACACTAGGGGTACTGTCCAAATCTATTATTATTATTATTATTATTATTATTATTATTATTTTTTCCATGCTAATCTTCTCTGTATCGTTCCAATTTTAACGGATGTCTATTATTATTATTTTGGGTTTCAGCCTTCAGGTTTTTTTTTAGTGTCCATGCACCCTGTATACTTGAAATCAGGCAGTAACATGATGTTCTTTAGGTTGCTTTTTAGGCTGATTAGAGGTATATGTGGTGTCCGACACACTCGTAGTCTCGTACCCTAGGATTGTCATGCCCAGCTGGTCCTGCCCAGTCAGGCACCCGAGTCTGATGCCCAGGGGGGTCTGATGCCTGGGGTACCTGGGCGTGCAAATATATTGTCACATAATGTCAGAGCCCCAAGGCGAAAAACAGAAACAAGAAAAACTTAATTCATTTTTAATCTTCGTCCTTACAAGTCCCCCTGTTCAGAACCTCTTGCGTACAAGGCCGCCCACGTGGATGAAGGTTGAGCGGCGGCTGCCCCCACCCCCGTGTGTCATATCGACCCACTTGCACACAGTCAAAAGGCAAAGAGGCAAAGAAGAGAGGAAGGGAACAGCCAAATAAAACAGAACAGAGGGCAACAAAACAGATCCCAGATGACAAGTCCCACATGCAAGCACCGCCCTTGCCCACAGGCCAAAGGACGGGACAAGACCAACCAGGATGTCAAAACATTCTTGTCTGCAAAGAAACCAAAAAACGTACCAAAAATATATATATACTCCAACAACACAGTTTGTCACAGCCCCTCATTTGTTGTCCTATTATATAAACTCCAGCGACACAGTTTGTCACAGCCCCTCGTTTGTTGTCCTCTTCTCCCTCTCTGCCTACCGTTACCGGACAGCTCTGTTAGCTCTGTTTTACGATATATATTATCAAACAGAGCTGTTATAGTTATTCAATAAAAAAACGGTGGAGTCATTGTTCAAGCGATTAATTTGAAATTGAAATTAAATGTACTAAGGACATGCATGTTGAAATAGGTCATTATTTCTTTATTCTTAGCATTTGTGTTGCATTAGCCTACAAAACAGAGAATCTATATATATCATCAAACATAGCTTCCCAGTAAACCGTAGGCAGAGAGGGAGAAGAGGACAACAAACGAGGCGCTGTGACAGACTGTTTCGCTGGAGTTTCACTGGCTCATCAGGAGGCTGAACCCTCAACAGTCTGTAGAATCCCCTGACTGATTACACTGCAAGTGATAACCCACCTTAACCCCAGTTGTGGTTAACCGTCAACGACTGCCGGACAACTGATACCCTGAGATGGGCACCAACCACTGCCCTCAAGGTACCTGTGACGAAAATCACAGCAGACTCTTTCGCCCACACCAGATGGAAAACTCTACAGACTGTCGGTTCACACCCCATCACAAGGCATATTATATGTATATATATATCGTCACAAACAGAACTGCCCGGTAAACCGTAGGCAGAGAGAGAGAAGAGGACAACAAACGAGGGGATATATATATATATGAACCGACAGTCTGTAGAGTTTTCCATCTGGGGTGGGTGAGTGATATTCTGCTTTGACTTTTGCCACAGGTACCTTGAGGGCAGTGGTTGTTGCCCACCTCAAGGTATCAGTTGTTGGGAGGCCGTTGATGCTTAACCACAGCCGGTGTTAAGGTGGATTATCACTTACAGTGTAATCAGTTAGGGGATTCTGC